TGATTGTTTACAAATAAAAACCTCGAAAGCGAAGACGCCGAAAAATCCCTCAAAACCAAGAATAATAGAATTAGGAAGAATTGTAAGATTTGAAAAGAAGGAGAGACACAGAGCCAGTAAAGATAGACAGTGATACAGGCCAAAACCCTGTACAAGAAGGAAAAAGAAGAGATATCGAAAGCGAAAACGCCGAATTTTTTAACGCAAATTCCATCATCCTTTTCTAGAAAAAAATACAAATTTCGGAACCTAAGAACAAACAATTTATGACATAACAATAGAGAACAAAATTAAGAAGAATTTGCAGAGACTTTAGACCGAAGTGTAGCGTGAAACTTCATACAAGGAGAAAGAGAACAAAGAAGGAATTCCACTATGGATCTCCTGGATTCTATCATGAGCAAGATGGACAAACCTCCAAGTATCAATGATAAACAGAAGAAGATGATGAAAGGTGGAGATATTTTGTGTTATATTTTGGGTTATCATTTAGGAAGAAAAGGATTAATGCTCCTTTTCATTTTTTTTCAGAATGCTCCCATGAGCAGTGAATTTGTGTCATTAAAAATTATGTTCAGCTCAAAGCTAAATATCTTTGTAGTTGTTCCAAGACTAGAAATACTTCAAGATTCTTAGCAAGAATATAAAGGATATACTAGCTTACACAAGTCCTTTCTGTGCTTCATATGTATTTTAATGTTTATGGTTTCCGGAAGATGCTAAAATCTTTAATTTTTCTTATTATGTGGATTTATTTGCATTTGCTGAAGTATCAGATTCAGAGACAGTTACTCAGACTTGTTACTACTAATGTTTCAGTTAATTTGTGAATGTAGTTTTTTTAAATATGAATACTACTAATGTTTATACCATTTGTATTAGATTTGATTTTTGCAGAATGAATCACTGCATGTAAAGTATTAGACTTTGGATTGCAGTGTATTAAATCTATAGGCACTTTGATTTTTGACATGAAAAATCTAAAGAGATGTTTTTTCCTCAAATTATTTATTCTGCCATTTCAATACGCAATTTCACACATTCTTTCTGAGATTTTTAGGCTGGAGGAAAAGGGGCAAAACTCTTATGAAATAACTATTAGTGCAAATGCTCAACAGAAGCACATCAAAACACCTGAGATTGTTTTCTGAAGTTGGATGCTGCTGATAAACAAAAATAATAACCATATTTTTTATTATGGGCTTTATATATAGTTTGGTACAATATATCCTGAAGAATTCCTTAAGGAAGTAAAAGAAATTATGATTGTTTTGTTTAGATCTTACTTTCTGTAACAGGGACCTATTGTCAAAAATGATCCTGTGGTTATGATTCAGAAGATATTCGTATGGCAAGTTGAAAAACAAAAAATGTTTATAAGGAGATACAGATGAATAGATAATTCAATTCCACTCTCCCTTTGTTGCCTTTTGTCAAGATGAATTTATTACATTCAAGATTTTTTTTTTTTTTTTTTTTTTTTTTTTTTTTTTTGTTAATTCTGAAATAAAAAATTTAAAAGAATTATGTAATATGATTTTATTTATGTAAAGTCCCACGCAAAGACAGTGACAGTCCATGCATCAGTTTTATCCAGGTGTCTGCCAGCCCACTCATGGACCAAAATCCAGGCATTGGACTTAGCTGCTTGAGTACCTACCTACCTACCTACCTACCTACCTACCTACCTACCTACCTACCTACCTACCTACCTACCTACCTACCTACCTACCTACCTACCTACCTACCTACCTACCTACCTACCTACCTACCTACCTACCTACCTACCTACCTACCTACCTACCTACCTACCTACCTACCTACCTACCTACCTACCTACCTACCTACCTACCTACCTACCTACCTACCTATGCTGTTGTTGTTTTATTGTTGTTCTTGTTCTTGTTCTTCGTCCTTCTTCCTTCTTCCTTCTTCCTTATTCTTCCTTCTTTTTCCTTCTACTTCCTTCTTCTTCCTTCTTGCTCCTTCTTCTTTCTTTCTTTTCTTTCTTCCTTCTTTCTTTCTTTCTTCTTTCTTCCTTCTACTTCTTCTTTTTCTTCTTCTTGCCATTTTCCAACTCCTATATTTGTCATTTGTTTTGCTGTATCAATATGGTAATAGACTGTTTTTCATGACCAGACTCCATATTATCTTGCTAGGTATTCTACAATTCTGTAAAGTAACAAAAACAATAAGTAACACTGCATTATTTTCTGTAACATCCCTAGTTACAGTGGGCTGGAATAGGATCTGAAGCATGGAACTAGTGTCCTCCCAGGAGCTGGTGCTATTTCAGGCTCGTCTCATGGATGGTATATTCCATTCTCATTTAGTAGTAGAAATAATGCAAGAGCTTCTTCCTAAATGGCCACTGAGTCTGGTATTGCTCAAAGAGCTTTGTATGCATATGTGGAGATGTTCCCATCACCCACCACTCTGCAACAATATATGACGATGTGTCATTCCTTTCACCCCAACCCTCAGCCCATTCCAGTCATCC